TTCTGATCAAAAATATACTCATGCAGTAAGTGAAGGCAATCTTTTTGGTTGGCAATATGTGAATCACGATATTCATCGATTATTTGAGTCTTATTGGCGTCTGAGTGATTTTTTGGTAATGTTCAAGATCAGCTTTGTATTGATTATGTTAACATGGTTTCAGTGTATTTCTATGTTAATGAACAAATACTCGTTTCAGATAATCGCAATCAACGGTTTCAGTCACAACGAACGCAGCGGTATTCGTATGATGATCATCGCCATCGGTGCTCGTTTTACACCCTACCTCACCAAGCATAATCACTTCCTTATCACTAAAACGTCAGTTTACAATCGCCCTTCTCGTATTTGTTTGATTATTCTAGATCGTGTCCTCATTTTGTTTTTCTGACAATTGCATAATGCTAATCCTATTCGATTTGCAGTTATCTTCTTATATTACAGAAACATTTTCAAAACGTTTGAAGGGTTCAGTTTGTTGTTGTTTTAGAGCCGAAGGTGCAAAAGTGGAGAAGAGTCGTGAATTGGGAGTTACAGTAGTGAATTATCAGTGGCTTATTGAATTGTATTTGGGTATGAAAACATCGATCCAAGAGAACGAAAGTGCCTATTGTCCAGTGCCTGGAATGTTTCCAGAGGTGAACGTCTCACCGTATACACTCGAGTTGTACAGTGAAGTTTGCAAGCAACTTTTAGGTTTGTTTATTTCTCATCGAATGCACTGATGGGCAAAGTTAATTTAATTATTTGTTCTAGAATAATGCAAACAACTGAGTGCTAACTGAGGGAAATTTTTTGATTCGGAGCAGAAGTATTCTTGATTAATAAACTGATCAGGTTATCAGAGCTGTCGTCGAAATTAGTTCAAAAATTTAACACTTTCCTTTAGCAGTTTTTAGTAGTTTCGAAATCATTTGATGAAATTCCATGAAATCATTGGAATTTTGTTTCAGCGGCTTGGAGGAAACCAGTGATTTTCTCGCCTGATCAGTGGCAGCGTGCGGCTGAAGTGAAACGAAGCGTTGAGAATGATGAGAGCATTTTTCCAAACAAGAAACTTCGGTATGTTTGCGACGCTTTGAAAATTCATAAAATGAGTGTTTGGATTCATTCGCATAGACTTCAAGGCTATGGTATTTGATGAAGACTCTAGAAGTAGTTCTGATCTAGTGTGACGTTCCAGTATCGCTCATGACGAGTGCTTACTCTCTCATTTGAAAAGCCACTAATTTCTTTATGAATCTCTTTATTGTAATCGTCACTTTTTTGATTTTTCGAATGCTTGCAACGTTATGATTTGTTTACTTCGGCTTGATTATCAGTGATTCANATCCATCTGTCTACTTTACCGTTATAAAGCATTTGCTAAATTTAAGGATGTCAACGCCACCACCAACTGACGAACAAATCGTGGAACAACGAGCCCAGTTGGGACCACTGAAAGATGCACCAATTGTTTGTTTCAGTGGATTCACAGCTGAAGAAGTGTCTGCGCTTGAGAAGGTTCTTATCATTTCCTGTCAGCTAAATGATTCAATTTCGTTTGCCAACTTTTCTTCATGATTGAAGAATAATCGTGCAATAAGCAGTGTTATGCGTTCATGAACAGAAATTCACCTCATTTTGGAAGTAACTTGACAAGAAATCCCTGAAAAGTAGCTGCATCCATCAGTCCTGAACGCAGTTTATCGAAATTTCCAGCAGCGTACCTTCCTACACACAACAGTTTATAATCTGTGTATATCATGCCACATTTGTTGCGAATGGAACAAGTTAATAGCTATTCGCTTCCTTCATGAAAGCAATATCGAAATAACATTCAAGAGTCTCGTCTCAACTAAAATCGTCACTTTCAGAAAGTGCGTTTCCTTGGTTGTCAAGTAACGGATTGTGTCTCTGAATGCACGCATTTGGTTGTACTAAATCTTTGGCGAACAATGAAATTACTTGAAGCGATTGCATTGGGAAAAAATATTGTTGGTGCAAATTGGGTCACTGATGGTTATCGATATAGAGTTATACCAGGTAATATTGTCACTGATAAGTTATCATTATTAGCATCGTTCCTGTTAGTATCATCGTTATTGTTGTTATGGTATCTTTGTTTTCTTATCATTTTATGTAGAACTGAACCTTGGTTTGGTGATATACCTTTCTGTCATTATTTATTCATTAAATAATTTGTTCTCATTGCACATTTCTATACAGTTTGCAGATATCATTCACAAACTCTTGCAGATACTTTGGACTATTTTGCACGTGACGATGAGAACGAGAAAGCGTTCGGTTACAATTTAAAGTATAGCGTTTTACGAGCTAGGTATCGACGTGTTTTTGAGGTCAGTTCCGTTGCTTTCCATGTCAGATTTACGATTTATGTTTTCATTTTTGACTGTTTCATGTTTGATAGCTGATTTGCTGATCATTTTGAGTTTGGGTATTCGATTGAAGGGATTCAAATGATATGATTTTTTTTTTCATTTTGGGTCATGAAAGTTTTTGAGTACG